AAGAGCGGTGGGTAATGTGACAGTTTAAGTTAAATTTCTTTGTGTGCTGGCAGCTTTAATGACATGCATCCTAGAGGGAGACGCACGGGGGTCATTTGACTTGGTCAAAGCATCCAGACTCTCTTGAGTTGAACCTGTGGCACCTTGCAATTGCTGTCATCAAAAAGAATAAATGGAGTTTTCAGTCTTGAAAAAAATCTATCACTGCATGATCAGGAAATGTAAGGGCTGATCTGTTTGTTAAACCCACTGAGGTAGTGGTTTGTGTTTTCATCAACCTCCCGGCAGCAGTTAGCTCCCCGCTTCATCCCCAGGACTTGCCTTGCACTGTTGGCCTTGTTCATTGATGGTAAGGGAAAAACAGAAAAGCGTTCTGTTCTTTGATCTGTTTTGTCCAGAGAGCAAGAGTCAAGTGGACATGTTTTCCTTTTATTCATTCAATGCTTTATATAGCTTCTAACGCACCTCTGCCTATATCACCTCCTTTGAACTTCACAGGTAATTTGTCAAGCACTGTATAAATAATACTCAACTAGCCAAGTTACCTAACCTTGTCATTTTGCATTATAATTTTCTCGCCTTTGTTCTGACTCATATTAGGATAGCAGTGGGTAGTAGGATGATAATTTAACAGTAAAAAATGGATTTTCTTGGAGAAAAGTTATTCCTGAATAATAATAGCACAGACATCTGTACACCCATGTTCATAGAAGCATTATACGCAATGGCAACCCAACTGTCCATCTGTGGATGAATGGATAGACAAAATATGGTGTGTGTGTGTGTGTGTGTGTGTGTGTGTGTGTAATGGAATATTATTAAGCAGTAAAAAGGAAGTTCTGACCTATTCTACAACATGGAAGACATTATGCAAAGTAAAAAAAGCCAGTCACACATAGACAAATTCAGTAGGATTCCACTTAAATGAGGTATCTAGAGGAGTCAAATTCACAGAGACAGAAAGTAGAATGGTGGTTGACTGAGCCTGGGGGGAGGGGTGATAAAGAGTTAGTGTTTAATGAGTACAGAGTTAAAAGTCTGGGGAGAGGGAAACAGTGCTGGTGATGGATGGCTGTGATGGCTGCTCAACGATATGAATGTACTTTATGCCACTGAACTGTGCACTTAAAAATGGTTATAATGGTAAATTTTATGTTATGTATGTTTTACCACAATAAAAAAATCTAGTAGTAATAATTACCGTTTGTTGAGTACATACTAGGTACATATTAGTCACTTTGCATACGTTATTCAGTTTTGTCCTCACAAGGGTCCTATGAGAGAGTAATAATAACAGGTGCTGCATCAAGCACATAGTATGTTCCAGTCATTGTACGCCCTTTAGAAGTACCAATGCATTTAATCCTTACAACAACCCTATGAGTAGATAGTGTTGTTATCTCCATTTTATAGTTGAAGATATTAAGGAGAGAAAAGGATATGTAACTTGCTGGAAGTAGGTGGTGGTGGAGACAGGATTACAACCTAGGCGGTCTGGCTTATGAGTCCACCACAGTGTCTGTTATCTCTCAGGGTAGGTGACTTTCTCGTGTTCATCCAGCATGTAGGAGGCAGAGCTGGGATTTAGCCTCCAGTTGACCTGAGTCACAAATCAAAGCAGTTGGCCTCTATGTTATAGGAAAGGTGGACCTACCTGGGGATGCCTTAGTAAAGGGAGTTTAGAATGAGGGCACAAGCATCGGTAGTCAAGGAGCTTGAAGGCAGCAAGATTAAGAGCCTAATGTAAGCCTCTTCTGCTTTAGTAAAAGTATGGTTTCTAAAATCAGGGAAGATTTTCCTTTTCCTGGGCAGACTGTCGTTTGGAGACCTGCGCTCAGTTCTGAACCTCACATTTTAGAAAAGATATAATCGAATCAAAGTATATCCTGATGAGGGGAACCGGGCAGTTGGGGGACTGAAAACTATGCTGGGCCAACACTTCTGAACACAGATGTGGCCACGTGGGATCCTGGGTAACACACAGGAGGCAGAGAGCTTTGGGCTTGTAGAAACTTGGAGGATATCATTGACCCCTTAGCATCCTTCATGGTAGGGATCCAAGGAGCGTGGATCAAGCCTAACTGAGAGATGCTTTCACAAGGATTTATATGCCCAATATTCGTCATCATCTCTAGTCTCTTCCCAAGTCCATGCCTGCCCATCACATGACACTGGCATCACCAAAGGGACTGGAGTAAAGCAGAGTATCAGATATTTTCTTTTGTCCAGGGCCATGTTTTTGGCTTTGCTAGTCCATCATGTACCCTACCATCAAATAGTTCTCATCACCAAACTTTAACTAATGAGAAGAGACAGTTTATATTCTTTACCTTTCTCTAAACCCTCACTCAAGGATGGCTAACCTGGCCCCAAAGAAAGATACCACCAAACCTTATAATGTGATTTTTTTTTATTCTTTATCTGGACACAAAGAGAACAGCAGTAAAGTCATTATTTCAGCTCAAAGCCATTTGGCTTTGTTGAAAAAAAATGTCATCTCCTAGTGGAGAATCGGGGTGAGGGCAGAGTTAAATGTTTTCTGTCTGGCTTCGTCTGCTCCAGGTCTGTTTGATTAACCTTAGGCCCTGTATCATTGGGCTTCTGCTACCCTAGCTTGTTAATTTGTCTCAACACAAGAATGGGGAAAAGTGGTGGAGAGAATCGAACGTTTAAGCCTGAAGGAGAGAGGATGGTGGGAGCAAAAGCCCCTCCATATTAATAGCGTTCATCTCTCCAAAGAGTTGTCTAGTAGAAAAAGAAGCTGACTTGTTCTGTGTGACTCAAGGGACAGAACGGAGACCAGGTGATAGAAGTTTCTAGGAAGCTGTTTCAGTTTATGAGGAAGAAGAATCTCCTGCGAGTCAGAGCTGTTCAGCATGTAGATGGACCACCTTCTGTGCAAGCGAGTTCACCAGCCCTAGGAGGATTCAAGCAACCGTCATGTTATGGGGATATTTTGGAAGGAAGTCAAGTGGAAGGTGAGATGTTGACCAAAGTCACATCTTTGGGGAATCACCAAAGTTGATTCCCCAGACTAGTTTAATAGTCTGTTTCTCCCTTAAAGTCAACCCTGTCGATGTGATTTATCTTCAGATAAGTGGAGGTTTTTCGAAACCTCCATTGGAGATTATGAGCAGGAACAGTTTACTGAACCTTTGTCGTTGCACAGCAGGGAACCAGCTGAATTATGCAGGATAAGAGTCTAAGTGAAGTGTTTTGTCCTACATATCAAAGAAATGGAAAACGAGGTCTTTGTCATTTGGAATGACAAATTTTAGTTGTTTATCATGTCTAAAGTATTCCTGCTCAAGCTTGGCTGCACTATTTTTTTCAAAACCAAGAAAAGAAACATTAGCAGAACGTGACAATAGCTACAATTTTAAAAATCCAAAAGCTGTCAGAAGCGTTTTGATCCCAATTAAAGAGACCCTTTGCAGCAATTTACACCTTGTCTTGAATTTCAAAGGGTTCTTGATCCCAAACCTTATGCGAGTAAATTTTATTAGTAGTATGTTGCAGGAAATAAATCAATAACAAAAGCTGTTCATACGTTCAGATATCTAGGTATTGCTAATATGTCAAAAGGATCAGTGAGAATGCAGAATATGTCATAAATGAACTCATTGTTACTTGTAATAGTAGGAGTGGTAGCAGTAGCAGTAGGAGTAGAAATGGTTTCATGTCAGTATGTTACTAGCTCCTCAAATCAGACCAGTGGACACCAAGGCAGGAGTGATGTCATCTTCATTTCACAAATAAGGAAACAGATTCTGGGAGTGTTCCGACTTGGCTGGAGACTCAGATCAGACCTTCCAACCCCAAATCCTATGTCTTTCCAGGGAAACTCACTAGCTTTCTTCTCTCCCCTCTTATAATTTTGTGTGTGTGTGTGTGTGTGTGTGGTACACGGGCCTCTGACTGTTGTGGCCTCTCCCGTTGCAGAGCACAGGCTCCAGACGCGCAGGCTCAGCGGCCATGGCTCACGGGCCCAGCCGCTCCGCGGCATGTGGGATCCTCCTGGACTGGGGCATGAACCCGCGTCCCCTGCATCGGCAGGCGGACTCTCAACCACTGCGCCACCAGGGAAGCCCTCCCCACTTATAATTTTATTCCATAGAATTATTATAATTTGTGCCATTAAAAAATCAGAAATATTGGGACTTCCCTGGTGGCTCAGTGGTTAAGAATCTGCCTGCCAATGCAGGGGACACAGGTTTGAGCCCTGGTCCGGGAAGATCACACATGCCGCAGAGCAACTAAGACTGTGCACCACAACTACTGAGCCTGTTCTCTAGAGCCCATGAGCCACAACTACTGAGCCCGCATGCCGCAACTACTGAAGCCATGCGCCTAGAGCCCGTGCTCCACAACAAAGAGAAGCCACTGCAATGAGAAGCCCACACACCGCAACAAAGAGTAGCCCCCGCTCACCGCAACTAGAGAAAGCCCGCGTGTGGCAACAAAGACCCAACACAGCCAAAAATAAATAAATAAATAAATGTTTAAAAATCATAAATATTGCAGGAGCCTAAAGATGAGTCTGTTTCTCAGGATAGAGGGCAGTGGTCTGTATCATCTTTTCCAGATAATGCAACATCTTGTTGCCACAATCACAGATGGATTTTGCTTGTTCATTTAGTTTAGCCAGCACTGATTGCCACTATTAT